CTAACCTAACCAGAGCAGTGGCATGGAATTTTCTGCGTACGAGACCCGTTCTCTTGTGCTGCCCCTCTAGGTCACTAAATAAACGTTTTCTGTTCGCAATTTATCGGAAATCGACCTAAGAGTAGAGCTGGACGCGACGTGAGCAGCTCGGGGCCAATCGGATCTATTTTTATAGGCTCATTTAAATTGTTTCCTTTCCGGCGAAATAAAAATCGCATACGCGCACTCAATGGAATACTTTTAGCTCGGCCCATGAGGAGTACGAAGACCGCGGGCTGCGGGCGCCGGTCTCGCGTTCACTTTTCCGTCAGGTTCGGCTGACTGCAGCACGTCCGAGGCGGTACGAAACCGGCAGTTGCCACTTACTCTCTAACACTCACGCTCGACACGACCGAAGCGTTGGGACTTCTGCGAAGAACTGACTCAGCCACCGCCAGGAGTCGGCTCCAGGACTTCGTGTGGCATAGAAGCCGAAAGGCAGTGGGCGCGTTCAGCTGGAAATTTCCCTTGCATGGAATGGGAAATTGTCTCTTCGCCGGAGAGTCCTACGCATGCGTTGAAATCAGTTTGAACTGCTCGGCACAATGAAAGAGAGCCGCCGACCGGTATCTCGCTGGGCCGACGAACTGTGAAAGTGGGTCAGTGTGACCGCCGCATCCTTATCCGCATCCTCCGCCCCTGTATTCTGCGATGGCGAAGTGTGCCGAATTTAATCGAATGAAACGCTTACAGTCAACTTAACAAACCACGTCAGTATGTTTTAGGTAGATTTGAGGCCTTAAACGGCCTCGTAGAAGTGTCATTCCGGCTAATTCTAATAGAATTTGTTTAACGTCCTCTTTATTTATTATTTGCATTCGTGAAGCTGAAGTTTTTACATTCGTTATTGAGTAACTTTGTTGGAAGTCAATTTTTTCTCTGATACTTTGTTTTCTATGAATTTCTTTCAATTGTAACTTGAGCAACAGGAAGATGGACATTGCTAGACCTACTCGACTGCTGATGCTGATCAAGGGTATATGTATGTTATAGAGTCGCAAATATCTTCTTTATAGCAGTGGCTTTTCATGTTTGATGTTTTTTCCTTTCAAAATCAGCTCTATTTCCCATTACATTCTTTAGAGTAGAGGAAGTTTAATATTATGTGTAATATATAGAAGAAAAACGTTCCGATCGACTTAGGCAGGTCCGTTTTTCCGGCCATATTAAAAATACAATTTCTCATGACAAAATAAAACTAATGATAACCTCAAGTCGGCAAACATTACTGTTAATACATATAATATTTTCTTATATTTAGCCAAAATCATAATTTATGTTAAAGCCACCGGAGCTGCTGGTGGATGAAATCCGGCTCTGATGAACCAAATGTTGGAGGGGGGCGGCTTTAACCTGAAATGCACTCGAAATAAGAACCCGTAGGACTTTTCGGGGTGTTACGCGACGTGCGTCGATCTGTTTATTGTAGAAGGTAAATTGGTACTAACTATACAAAAGAAACTAAAGCTAGGGAGAGCGGATTGGAAGCTCTTTGGACTGGAAGTCCGGAGGAAGAGGGAGAGAAAAGGAGAGCGTACGGGATCACACTGCCTCCCGAAATTAAACGCCTTTCTGGCGTGAACAATAATTTACATAAAACTGTCGGTCGACTCCTTATTTCCAAAAAGGTTTTTTTGTTACATTTACATAAAATTATCTATTAAATGAGCATTAGGAAAAATCTGTTAACTGATAAGAATTTTTGCACAAGTTTTATGCATTTACACGCATTTTAAATATTAAACAACAGCCAAAAACAAATAACAACAAAAATCCGAAGAGTCAATTTGTGGTAGTTAAAACAAATTTTTACTTTAATTTTATACAAGAGATTTCTGTAAGCTTAAAGGCCATCATTCAATTTTATATTATTGAAAGTTTTTGAATGAACTCTGCCCAATATTTACATAGATATTTTGTATCACAAATGCCTAATGTACTAATTCCAGTTGTATATGATATTAACACTAATCTTAGTGTGACTAAAAAGTGTCGAGTTACAAGAACACCGTGGGATAGATGTCCCAAGAACTTATGGCTTGTGGTGTAATGTACCGTATACACAGGTCCATATTTAGTATACGTTGCTTTTCTATAAAATGGTACCATACGTAATCGGACTTCTGCAGCCGTTTACTGTATTAAATTTCTTTGTTGCTTACACACAGTTTCCTAACGGTAAGCTGACTGTTTAAAACTTAAAATTTAACTGTTATATACTGCCTGCGCAGACAATAACAGATAAGATATAAAGCTTAACATTCCATAAATATAAGCCACAATCCATAAGGTTTATATTATAATCGCCATAAACACGCTTGGGTGTTCCTACATACTTATAGTTTGGAAGCATTTAAATTGTTACCGTTATGAATACACTGCTTGGTGCTTATATTTGAAAGCAGTTGTCAAAAATGCCGCTATAAAGTAGTCACAGCTTTAAACAAACTGCTTGAATATCATCCGAGTAAATATTTTATTTCGTTTTGTCTTCCAAAGCGGCAAGCTATTTAGCTGTTTAAGATATAAACCTACAGGATACTGAAATGCCATAAACCCACTGGTCTCTACACTTGTACAGTTTGAAAGCAGTCATTAGAAATGCACTGCTTGCTTAAAAATTATAGTCAGTATTTTAGCGACACTTATTGAAAGTTTTACAGTAATTGCTATAAATATAGCGAAATGCACATGATATAAAATTGTATTAAGAATATAGCGATTGTCAGTTTTACAGTCATTGTAATAATTGTACCGTTAGTGTTTGTTAACAGATTTAAAGCAGTTGATATTCTAGCAACTTGTACATAGCACGTTATAGCAATAATTATTGAAGGTTTGATGGCTATTGTTATAAATGAACTGTATAGAGAACACTATAGCGATAATTATTGCAAGTTTTATACTGTTTATTTACTTTTATACTGTTAATAGAGTCTATCCACTCAGTCCATCTGTGTGCAACAGTTTCAATTTTTCGCAGATGTGAAACTTGGGTTCCCACAGAGCAACACAAACAAAAGTACATACATAAAAATTACAATTTAGCCCGTTCGAGAACAGAAAAACCACACATTGCGACAGATCTTATCCGCACTAAATTTATATGAATTGGATTACGAGGAATGATTTTTCTGTAACCAACAGTAAATACCCCATAGAGTGTGCATGGTCGAATAGGCTCACAAAAACTATACAATAAAGGTGAAGTAGGCCTTTTAAATTAAATTTTAACAATCAGGACATTTTGGGGTAAGGGTATACATGATGTAACATGCAAAATATTAAATTTATATTTTAATTGTTCCACCGAAAAACTATCGCCAAACGACGCTCATCAAAAGAAATTTTAGAACGGCAAAACCTTATGGCCCATCCGTTCATCGACTTGTCCTTGCAAACCATTTGGCGACTTTCGAATCGCCGCAAGCTAGAGAGATTCTTCTGGGAGTCGCTTTGGCGATAGCTAGAGGACTTATTTACGAAAATCTCCAAAAAAGTGTCTTCTGCGAGTCGCGGGCCGTTCACTGGTGATATAGTTTATGGGCGATTATTAAAGCAGAACAGGAGTGACAACCATATCTCGCAAATAACTGTTGACCGTTTTTTCTTACGCTCGCTCGCGAGAACAACCGAAAAAAATATACATACTTATATCCTCATTCTCTGTCCGAACATTGAGAGATACAAGTGACTCTCGCGTAGAGAGACTTATTAAAAAACCGATTGACTGAAAAAGTCAACTCAAACGGTATTTTAAAAAATTTGTTTTCATTTTGGAGTACAGTGGTACGATCCATTTTATTAATAAATTGTAGCAAGGTCACTCGCTAAATTCTTTATATACTCCATATACCCACATACATGAGCAAAAGACTATTTGAATCGTCAGTCAAGAGCAAACGGTCCGTGAATGATCAAAAACAGAAAAAGTCTGATGGTCGCATAGTAGCGCCTCTAGAACAAAAGCCGTTGCAAAAATCAATTAAGTCGTCTCAAAAACGATTTTACCCATACTACAACATCGACAGGAAATTTCCAATGGATTTAGAATCTGCATTAAAGTCAATTTTCTGATTTTTTTGTAGAAGATATGAGCATTCAAAGTGGATCTTTGTTTCCATGTTTGCATCTCAAGAAAAAAAGGGGAAATTTGGTTGACTTGGAGGTAATATTATACAAAAAATAGCTTACCTATCGTCATGATTTATGCTTTAAATAATAGATACACTACTGGCCGAAATAATAAGTACATGCGTATGTGGTTTGTTTCAAGTCCTATAAAATTTGTTTGATAAACTTAAGAAAAAAACCCACTTTATTTTTAGTTTCCGTACTTATTCCAGATAATAAAAATAACTGCCTAAAGGATTTTACATTTCAAATTTAGAGACAGGGGTCAATTTTATCCAAAAAGCATGAAAATGGGCTGGCCGAAATAATAAGTACACCCATTCTTCTAAGTCTAGAACTCGGAACGTATTAAATATTTTTCACTTCTTTCTACTTATAAGTAAACTTAGATTAGTATCCAATAAAACCACACTCGTTTAAGGTAACGTTCGCTATTATTTTTTGCATTCTAGTAGGAAGTCTGTGGCAAGTCAGTACTAGAAGCTGAGACCAGGTTTCTTTAGCAAATCTTCACAAATCTTCAACATATTAAAATGTTTTGGTTACAATTCGACGTTTTAAGTTAAGTTAAGCAGGTAGGATAATATTACAATAGTTGTGAAATTCCTGTTTGTAAGTTAAATTTTCTTAAAAAGAATTTCAGTTATCGAGTTCGTTGTAGAGTAGCGCTAATTCCAATGGCGTGCGTAAAACCGAAAGAAAGTGTCTACATACTCGAATGAATCAATGGTAAGAGACATAATTATTACAAAAGCCTTAATCATGCAAATGGAACTATAGCGAAGGCAAAAAGACAACGACGTGAGCCAAGCTATAAATACACTTACCCAATTTTTCGCCACATAAAACAAAGTTAGGTGACTGGACCCACACCAAAGCCCAGCCTAGCAGCACTATTCTCAGCTGGAAAAGAAGGGCGTATGAGCGATGTCGCCTTTTTTCCGTGTGCGGCTCCATTACAAAATCAATGTCCCTGATATGGAGAACGACTCCAGGAACGTCTTTTGTGGAGCAGAAGACACTCGATTCGAGTGCACTTGATAAAGCCTAAGTCTCCGCAAATTTTCGTATAGTTCAGCCTGATTGGCTGCGAGTATTCTTTGGCTCACTACGTGTTATTTGATACAGCTGTGATGGAGCATATATTTATTGATTACCGCAATGGTCAATAAAATTAATCTATACACCAGAAACTAATCTTTTGTAGCGTCCTTGACAACGGAACGTTCTGATGATGATATATATTAATAGGAAGGTATATGTAACCTGTAATAAAAAAACAAATATTTAACATGAGGACTCAGTTTACAAATCAATTAAAAATGTATATATTATCGTCTTAAAATTAATTTAAAATAATTTTCAAAAGTACCCTGTAGTACTGCGCGCTGGTTCGTAGCTGGTGAAATAAGTGCTTACCAGCAGACCACCCCTACTTACCCATCGGCCCCAAGCAATACGATCTTTCATTTCCGTTTTTGTATGAAATGTCCGCAAATAGGGTCAATCGCCACCGTGTCGTTTACCCAGGAACTAGTAAAATAGTACTCCATGGAATGGTCGGTAATGTAAGTACTTACATGGGACCCCATGGAATGGTCAGTAATGTAAGTACACAGAAAAAAAACTCCGGGATAAAGTGCTCAAAAATCAACCCCAAGTGGTCATGATTTCGGTTATTAAATTACTTATATTAATGTATAAATCTTATTAAAAGCCACTTACTTTTCCTAGTTCCCGGTCGGGATTCGAACCCATGTCTCAGAAATCACATACCGTCTGCTTACCAACTGGGCCACTGAGTCAAATCAAAATTTAATGTCGGGAACCCGAATACATACAATTTGAAAGAAAGAGCAAAAATATATGTATCTCTCTCTGAGCTAAAAATAGATTTGCTGCTCTCACAAATTTTTAGAATCCAGCTAGTAGCTGGTTCGCAGCTCGTTTACCGTAGGGTCAGTATAGTAAGTACCCATATAGTAACCGACGAAGTAAGCAACTACGCAAAGCCAATCGCCACCTCCAGTACTACAGGGATGTTTCTAATTTGAGAATAACGATATGTAAAAGACAGCCGCAGCTGAAGTTTTAAGGTCGTAGTTTGTAATATTTATGTTTTTAAGTCTAAAAAAAATAAAATATAAATTATACAAAAACCAAATTGCATTAAAAATTTTAAATATCGCCAAATTGCAAAATTTTGTCTAGAATAGAGGTTTATCGCAATAAATTGGCCGAAACGAGACATATTCAACAATATTAATATTCTTGGTGCGTTTGTCCTTCTGGCCCCTCACTTTAAGAGCTATTTTAATGAAACTTTACAGATTCTAAACTTATTTGTATGGTTATGGCTTTTATTCCAGCCTGAAAGAGTGTAAAATGTTTGTGCAAGAGCTTACAATTCTTAAATCTAGACAAGAAAGTAGACATCAGCTGGACCCAAAAAGACAGCAGCCTAAAACACATGGGCACGGTACTCTGATCTCATTTGTGGCCCAGGGCACTAAACGGTCACCTAGTCACAGATTTACAAGAAAAAGTGGGCCCAATTCTACACAAAAAAATTCCTGAAGTAAGTCCAACAAATTTCAGTCAAAGAGCCCAAACCCAAAATCATTGGTTGATTTTAGTGTAAGCTACAGTATAACGACGTAACGCGTTACGTATTATGACTCCTCTACAGTAAATCCAACCAACCAGTCGAAAAGCCAACAACAAGATACATTGACTGTACACTGATAAAAAAAAAATCTTCTTTTAAGATTTTGTGCATTCTTAAAATAAAATCCTAATATAAGACTAAACATTCTAGAAAGGAGATTTTTCTGGTTTTATTCAGTAACAAAAAAAACTTGGTTTAAGATTCTCGACATTCTTAAGAAAAGAGCTTAAATTAATACCCCTGTGTCTGGACTACAAGGTTCTGGTCTACAACTCCACACTAAAGCCAATATGGACGTATGGCTCCCAGCTTTGGGGGAACGCGTGCAGCACCAATCTAGACATCATACAGCGCGCCCAACCAAAAATTCAGAGAACTATCACTGGGGCACCATGGTATATTCGCAATAAAAACATCCACAGGGATCTCGGCATTCCTTCAGTTAAGAACGAAATATAGAAACAAAATGCGTCTTACAAGGAAAAACTCTCTGCCGATTCTTTAGCTAGGGACTTGATTCGGGTTTCCAGCAGAAGCCGTCTGTCTAAGTAACGATTTTCTAACGCAGCCATAATTAGTGAGGGCCATTTACTCTGTACCAGTCTACATGACTGCTAGTTAGGTAGTATTGTAAGATTTGATACACTTATTGTTAGTCTCATAAATGAGAAGATTCGATAAATAAAAACAAAGCCTAAAAAAAAAAATTTTTTTAAATACCACATATCTTTCGCTCTCGCTCGACCATTCTTAAAAAAATCAATTTTTAGCTCAGGGAGGGAGATACATTTTTTTTTTGCTCTGTCCTTGGAACTATCTGTATTCACGTTTCCGACACTAGTGTTTGAATTCCAGTTGGTAAGCGGTCTGTCTATGAATTCTGAGACATGGGTTCGAGCTTCGAATCCCAGACGGGGCTCAAGAAATGTAAGTAGCTTTTAATAAGATTTATTGACTAATTTAAATAATTTAATACCATTTGTAGTTCTATAATTAGAGATTAAGAAAAATACTTTCACAACAAATGTTTCATTTAAGGGGTTATATACAGTTGTACCGCGCAAAAAAATGCAATTTTGTCGATTTTTTTTTGACATCATAAAAAATATTTATCAAAAATGTTTTGCCGACGTTGTTTAGTACGTGTTTCTAGGTACTTTATAAAATTTTTTCATAAAAAAATATTAAATATTAAAAATGTTATGGGCGAATTCCAAGATCGTCTTTTTTCGATGGTGACTTGCGGTGGACATCATATCCCGAGAACGGTTCATCCGAAATCAACAATTCAAAAAAATTTCGTTAGTATATTGTATTGCCTAGTCCTCTAGACCATGGATTTGTAAAAATTTTGATTAAAAACAAAATGGCGACGGTTTTAACAAAAAATTTACTTTTTCAAGGTATAAAATTTTTGATTTTTATGCTCTAAAAAAAAAAAAAAAAAAAAAAAAAAAAATTCTTCGTTAGAGGACTAGCTATTGTTATAAAAAATAAGTGGTCAAAATTTGGTGTTGATCGGATTAATAGTTTTTTAGTTATCGTGTCCACCGCAAAGGTAACTTCGAAAAAAAACGATTCTGAGATAATCGCGTTTAAAGTTTCAAGTTTGTTCCGGCCGACGTGCAGGTCGTGCGCTATAAATAGCTACAACTTCGGTTCTAAAGCTCCGATCTTTATGAATTTTTGTGAGAGTATTCTCAATAGTATATACTTGAAGAATATGCAATAAAAAAAAATCGATTTTTTTTATCATCACAACTGTATATAACCCCTTAAAAACGGCTAGTTATCAGCTAAGGCAGGTCTCGGTAGGCTTACAAAAAATTAAAAAAAAAAAAAACAAATTTTTAACCAAAAGTGAGATAAAATCAAGAATGTTGGGTATTACATTTTGACTCTTCTGAATCTTGAATAAGGATACAAATACTCGTCAATAAAGAACAAAAATCTTAAAAGAAGACCAAAATATGCTTGCGCTACTTTCGTAACCGAATGGTCACGATTTTATGACCAAAATAATTAACCAAAACTACTTAGGGTTAAACATACCAAAATACCGACACAATTTCATATATTCCAAAAAAATATATATATAAAAAAATACTATAACCGATCATTTCGATTAACTTGATCAGCTGTTAACACTCAAAGTCAACATATAGTAGCACACTATTTTTCAGAGTTTATACCTCGGTTGCTGCACTCCATTTTCTATTTGCGACATTTTTTTGGATTTCAAGTTTTTTGAAACAAGTTCTCCATTTTCTTAAAGCTCAAGGTATGTAGAATAAGAAAATTAATGTTTTGTGACCTGTGAGTAGATGTCGTATTTGTAGTTTATGTTTAAAACCATCAATGTTTGTAGCCCCCTTTTTAAAGGCATGTTTCAGCTCCTGTAGACTAAATCTTTGTGAAGCTCGTCCCGGCCCACAAAAACTGTATAACTGTACTATGGTTCGTCTAGTGTGTAAATAAACCAAAGTTAAAAAAAAAATTAAAAAATAAAAAATTAAATTAAATTGGAGGTGTAAAGTTTAATTTCTTTTTAGGTAAACATTTCATAAAAATTTCAAACTTAAATTAAATTCAAACTTAAATTAAATTAAATTTATCGTTACTTTATATGAAATTCCATTTCTGCTGCTAGAACAGCCAAATCGGCCACTGTGCGGTGTGGCGGTTACACCTTAAATAAAAAAAATTTTTAAGACTTTTTTTTCAGTTTTCAAATTATTTTTATTTACAGCAAATACATAAAAATAAAGATAAAAGCTTAAATAAAAAATATTTTGTAAAATTGTTTTCATTGAAAAAAATTCTTTCTTCACTTAATACCCTTTAAAAAGGCGTGGTACATTATGCAGTACATATGTATATACATTTTATAATAATTAAATTAAATTATTTGATTACCTTATTTGGTTCAAAAGATATGATTTTTGCGACGCTACTGTGCTTCGGTAACCTCTGGTTTGCATCCAAGTTTAACCCGGATAAAGCGGAAAGAAAAAAGTTCTTTTGAACCGATTCTATGCGTTTACTATTGAGGTTACCAAATTGGAAAATGTTTAGTTTTCACTTCCGAAAAGTATTCTTGGATTCGGGAATCTGATAAGCCTCTGTTAACTTCCGAGCGGATTTAGATCCGCCAGTCGAAAAAATAATTGTTAAATGTTTTAGGGACACACCTCAAAATCGATTCGATTCTAACCTTCTGCATTATTGAAAATCCGCCGCCTCGTTCCAGTTTTCAAACGAAGAAGGCAAAACTTGCGTACCGAAAAAGATGATATCATAAATTTTTAATAATTGTTTTTAAGTTTGTTTTACAAGTATAAGAACGGTTTTTAGTTTAAGTTCAAAGAAAAAATTATGTTGTTTAGAATATCAGCTAATTTAATCTACAACCTCAGCAACTGTATTCTGCAGCTTTTTGCAACCAGAATAGCTGACTGCGATTGCAAATATTATTCAGCATGCTAATTTGCGACCAGGAATGCATTTTCTTTTGATTTTAGGCACTAAATTAGTACTCCATTACTATTCATAGGTGGGAGACTACAGCGGGCCTAAAATTTGATCAGTCCCTTATAAG